CAGTGTCCACTCTTTGACACACTCTGTTTGCTCACTGCTATGCTAACACACATATACATTAAGCTTACTTACAGATTCACCTTGGAACTGACTCACTTGAGCAGGTAGATTTTGTCACAACCTCATCCATTATTTTTCTAAGACCAAAAGAGCATTCTTTATAGATTCCGTGGTCCTCTTTCTTTCTTCCCTCTTTCTTCCTCAGAGTTATTACTTCATTGGGGTCGAAAAGAAACCTAAATATCAATCTAGAAAAAGACTGTGAGCACCAACTCTAGTTTTCAACTGGGAGACGTAGCAAGAGTGCATAGTGTTACTCCTGGTTAGCTAAATGCAGGGCTTCACATCTGGTTCTATGGATTAAGACTGAACATGAGGCCAGGATTACTGTAAATATTTAATACTGATAGAGTTCTGTCATAGGGATGAATTTCATGAGATGGGAAGCATGGTGTACAAGATGAATTAATTGTGTGGGAGATGGAATTTGAAAATTATGATGGTGTGAAAAGTAAGATTAGTGGTGTCACATGACAGGTCAGAGTTCATGCTGTACTGTTGCGGGTGCTGACCTGGAATATATACTCATTATCTTAAAACTTTCCAAACCTTCAAGATTAAATCAATATCACCGGGGAGCCACATATCTTCAAATCTTCAAATATTCAGACTTGCACTGTCCCATTAACAAATCAAACTGTCTCGTGACTGAGCATTCCTTCTGCCAGCCAGTATCTTGATTTTTGACTCAAATATGGACAGTATTAACTTTGCCCTCCATTTAACGTATCTTCGTTGACAGTTCCCGCACCACCATCAGAATCAAGACTGTTCCCACTGAGCACTTATACACCCCAATCCCACCCATTGTCCTCCTTCAGAGCCTAGTTCCACTGTTCTGTGCCCTGAGCCCACCTGCTGTTTACCCCCCAAAACCCTCTTGGTTTTGTCCATGGCCCCACCTGAACCCTTTTTTCATTCCTGATTCACCTTGGATGGTTCCCACCCTCCATTCAATCTGCCATTCTCCAGATACCTCTCCCTGGTACTGCTGAATCTAACAAATTCTACCACCCACCTCAGGCACAATGCCAACTGGTGCCCAACACTTCCAATCATGTCATCATTCCAATGAGTTTGTCAGCTTCATCACAGATGATTTATACAGCAGATCACAGGGCCTAGATTATAGGAGGAATAATGATGGGTTGGATTTTGGCACATTGAGGGGAGATGGCATGTCCATCTGCATGATGAAAGGTTCTAGGGTGATGACGGGAAGTTCAGGGGTTACATACGGAAGACACAAAGTGTCGTTAGGAAGATCAAAGGTGATGGGGACCAAGGGGAAGGCGATGGCAGAGGGTGCAGGGTCATGGATTACAAATCATAGCTCACATGCACACTGTTACTGGCTGTATCAAAAAAAAACCTTACCTACAACTGGCAGAAGTGTTGATCCAAATGGGAAGAGGCTAAGTGTGGAGTAGATAGAGTTTTGGCTGTGAAGAATGAGAGAAGTATAAAACTTTTGTGCTCAACACCAGAATGGATGAAATCCATGGACTCACATTGCGGATTACCTTTCTCACACGTTTCCTTCAGTGGAACACCCATGGGACATGTACACCCAATATTCCTACAAACTTGGGAGCGGGAGGAGAGGATGCAACAGAAGAGGACTTTCACTTGTTAACTCCTGAGGCCACAACGGCAGTAGCATGGAGCACCAGAGGGAGAGGGTGACCAGGAGGCAGCAATTCGGAGAAAGCAGAGCAAAAGTCAATGCAGCTTCAGGATGTGGACAAACCTACCTCCTGATTTCTGAGAGACAATGCCAGGGATGCCTGATGCTGTGCTGAGAAGCAGTCACCAAAGATTGCTACCTTATGCAGCGAGGCATGGCACCAAATCAATCCGGTGGCAACCTCTTACCCACGGTTGTTATAAAGTGACCACAAAGTGTGGGTCAAGGGTGTCTTTTTGCGGTCTGGAATGCATGGGTGATTCAAGGATGTGACCAATGTTCTCTGCCCTCATTCCAAAAGAGTTCGACAGATTCCTTACAAATGAAGACCGCCCGGTACCAGGACAATGGGCTTCACAGCCATTCCCTGGAGTGGATGGCCCTCATGTCTCCTTTGGAACTGCTTTGGAACCACTAGCAACATCTGTGAACTGCAAGGGTTTCCGTTGTCTAATCATCCAATCGATCTGCGACCATAGACAACAAACCTTGCAGTCCTGCTCTTGTTTCCGCGAGAGTTCTCAACTGTGTACCTTCCAGAGTATGTGGCTTTCTGAGCTTTGCAAGGCCCCAACAAACCCAAATTGATGGTGGGATCCTCCATTAGAAGCTCACCCTAGTCATGTAATTACACATGTTTTACGTGTCCGTCTCTGGCCCAGTAAATTGTTGCATTTGCTTTTGACGTGAAACCAGAATGTGGTGATCAAAAAATCCAGCCAAACGGGAAGAGTAAACAGGCTGGGGCTCATTAGTACTTGTCGGGAACACTGCAGGGAGCCACTGTTGCCATTGGATTAAAGTATTGGACGCAAAAAGTGTTATTCAAACCTAGGAGCTCAATTAATGACACAAAGTGGTTATCATTTGAGTGGAGTGGTACTTTATGGATTGCCTGTTTGTCTATTTATTTGCACTGTGATGCTGCTTAATGTTTGTCCTCGTGTCTGATCTGATCAGCAAGACAATGGCATGCCCTGTAATACCTGTTGTTTGCTATTGAGCATTGCTTTCAGAGTCAGTTCCATAAATCAGATGCTGAGTTGGCCTCTCGCTCAATTGGGAGTTCTGTAAATTTGCAAACTTGTTGTGGGGTTGGGACTCAGAAGTGTTCCAGGTATTAAGTTCCTGACCCCAGATTGAAAATACATACCCTTGTCTCCATGGTGGGGTCCTGCAGTAGACGATACTGTGAGACTTGCTCAGAGTGTGACATACAGAGGAGTGAGTAAATTACATGTAAGTACTGATGCTAAAACCAATCCCCCTGTCATTCCTCCATTTAAGCTGAAGCAGTTACCTTCGTAAATGTTTTACGATGAATCAGGACATTCTGTCCTTAAAGGTATAAAAGTTATTTAATGTGTAAAGGATTAGTTCAGCCAATTGTATCTGGTTCTTATCCATGTCAAACCAGTCACAAAAGAGCCAAATCTGTGAAATTTGACAAAAGCCATAGATGTGAGCAGCTGTTGAGGTATGTAGGCTGCATATGAAATATCTTAATATCCAGATGTAGAGTGATTGCTGAGAGTTCCTGCGGCTGTGAATTGTCAGCAGCAGGCAGCCATTGATTAGGATAGGCATAGGAAAAAATTTAAGTAAACCAACTGGAAACCATGACTTAGAAAGCTGTTTCTAAGGGCTGTTTTCTCTGAAGTCACCAATATCCCATGTTTCATGCTTCACCTCCTAAGTAAGGACTGTTTGGATCACTTGTGTAAAACACCTTAGTCCCAGCTTTGTTGTGATATGCCTTTAAGAATTATGTCAATGTTTCTGATGTAGAGCAGATGTGAGGAATGTGACTTTTGGATGGTAGTGATCTAAAGAAAGTACTGTGCAGTGAGAAGCTGTGTCTTTGTACAGAACCATCCTTGAATGTAGATTCCACATTCTTCAGTTACTGATCCTGTTTTGAGTCGGCTGTATCTTGTGCATTGTAGTAGCTATGCTCAAGCTTAAGAACACACTACCTTTCTCACTCCCAACAATTCCGCCTCTAACAACAAAGTTGTTAAAATTTTAAAATTGAAATTGAATGGTCTAACCTAACCAAAACCTTTGCTCTCTCATCTACACTTTCTCAATCTTTGTTAGTAGTGTTCTGTGATACAAACCTTGAACCATTCTATCATCAAAGAAATGCAAATGATGAATTGAGTAATGCAGTCAAGAGACTTTCACAAGCAAGCACTTAAAATTGCTGGAGAAACTCAGCAGGTCTGGCAGCATGTGTGGAGAGAGAAACAGAGTTAACGTTTCAAGTTAGAAGTTCTGAGGAAGAGTAATTCCAGACTCGAAATGTTAGATCTGTTTCTATCTCCACAGATGTTGCCAGACCTGCTGAGTTTCTCCAGCATTCTCTGTGTTTGTTTCTGATTTCCACCGTCCACGTTTTGCCTTTTTTTGTGTTTAATTCACTCCCATTTCTCTACCAGATATGCTCACTTTGAAGAAATTCTGCTCTTCCCAGTGATGGGATTTCTATTTTAATTTCAAGTGAATTTCAGTTGTCTGTATCGGTGTAGCACTAGCAAATCTCCAGACGTTCCATGCCATTCTGCTTAAAGCAGCCTGCTTGATTTGCAGCTCATCTACTTCCTTATACACCCACTCATCCATTACCAGTGCTCTATGGCTGCAGAGTGCAGTGTCCAAAGGATGCTCTGCAGTGACTCACCAAGGCTTCTCTAACAGTGCCTCCCAAACTCATAACCTCTGTTGCCCAAGCGGGTACGTGGGAAGGTCATCACCCCCAAATTCCCCTTAAAGTCACACACCTTCATCTGAAGCTGCCAGCACCCATTTGGTGCCTCAAGTAAATAATCATTGGCATGTTTGTCCACATAGGAAATCATTGCTGAACCCGATGCTTCATTCATCTGATCCGTATGTAAATTCACCTTTTGTGGAAGCTGCCTTCTGACAAGTGGGAATAGATACTGAGAGCTGGTCCTTCATTCCACCTACTGCCAACCAGCATTTAACCAGTGACACTGTCTCTGCTGGGATTCATTAACAAAGCGCAGACTGGTTAATCAAAGCTAGTGCCATGTGTCTCTCTGTAAGCCTGAAAACACACTACATTGCACATCAATCTTATTTTTGAAGGAAGAACTTGCTATGCAGTGCAGAAGCTGAACTTGCTGAGAAATTAACTTACTGGTATCACTGAACTCATCGTCAGTGTGCAGCTAGGATCTGGAAAATGTATTCTTGATTTAATAAAAATGTTTTCTTCTCTTACTAGGTTTTAGATGGCCTCTATCTTGGAAATATTAGAGGTAAGTGTGGTTATCATTTCTTAACTGTAGAGGCTTGTAATCATCATCACCATGGATTGAAACTGCATTATCAGTTCATTAAATTCTTTTGCCCACCATTAGAACAAAGCTCAGAGATAGCAAGAACTGCAGATGCTGGAGACAGAGACAACACAATGTGGAGCTGGAAGAACACAGCAGGGTAGGCGACACCAGAGGAGCAGAAAAGTTGACGTTTCGGGTGGGTGAGAGGAGGTGTAGTCCAGGTGTACCCACCCTCCAGCTAGAATGCAATCCTCTACTCCCAATTCCTCCGCCTCTGCTGCGTCTGTTCTCAAAATGGGGCACTCCACTCCTACATATCCCAAATGTCCTCCTATTTCAAGGACCGCAACTTTTCCCCTCCAGTGATCGAAAGTGCCCTCAACCGCATCTCTTGCATTTCCCACACTTCTGCCCTCACATCCCCTCTCCCCCAACTAAAATAAAGACAGAATCCCTCTTGTCCTCACATATCACCCCACCAACCTCTGTATCCAACATATCATTCTCCGCCACTTCCGCCACCTACAGTCCGACCCCACAGCCAAAGAGACATTTCCCTCCCCACCTCTATCTGCCTTTCGTAGCGACCGCGCTCTCCGCAACTCCCTTGTCCGCTCCACACTCCCCACTAGCGCCACCACCCATGGCACCTTTGCCTGCAACCGCAGGAAGTGCTACATCTGCCCCTACACCTCCCCCCGCATCTCCATTCAAGGCACAAACCAAACCTTCCATATCAGACCTACATATCGGTCAACATGGTCTACTGTATTCTCTGCTCCCAGTTTGCCTCCTGTACATCAGTGAGATCAAGCGTAGACTCGGAGACCGTTTCGTAGAACATCTGCACTCTGTACGTGAGAAATGACAACACCTTCCAGTCGCCAACCATTTTAACTCCCCATCCCACGCCTTGGGTGACATGTCCATCTTGAGCCTCCTCCAGTGTACAACGACACCACCCACAAACTCAACACCTCATAAAGGGGACAGCAGCCTACGGCCTGGTGGCCTAAACATGGATTTCACCAGCTTTAAAATCTCCCCACCCCCAGCCTCATCCTGTGTCCAACCCTCCCTCTGATCCCTGCCTCCTTGACCTGACACAACCTGTCCATCTTCTGTCCCACCTATCCACCCCACCCATCCCATTGACCAATCCCCACCACTCCCTACCTGCACTCACCTATCACCATCCCACCTACCTTCGCCAGCCCCACCCCTCCTCTCTCTCTTTATTTCTGAACTCCCTTCCCTCTCCCCATTTCTGAAGAAGGGTCCTGACCCGAAACGTCAACCTTCCTGCTCCTCTGATGCTGCCTGGCCTGCTGTGTTCCTCCAGCTCCATACTGATTAGAACAAAGCTGTCACCTGCTTTAAAATACAATGGTCAGTAACTGTTTTGCAAGTTAATAGAATTTCATTCCATAGACCCATGGAAGCTCCTAGGCCGTTTGCCCCATCATGTCTGAGTCTGCTTTTTGCTGGAGCAATCCAAAACTAATAGCTGTGCCCAACTCCCTTCGACTCACCATGATTCTTCTTTTTGCATCAAGTAGTTACTCAGTCTTCCCTTGAAACTAACTCTGCTTCAACCACTTTCTATGGCAAAGCATCTAATTTTCCAATAACCTATGTGTAAGAACATTACTCCCCCTGATTGTCGATGACAGTATTGATGACTCCTCTTTACCTGTCACTCACACCACAGCCAGGAGAAATAATAACTCACTGATAATTAATGTCAATTTCAACCTGGAAGTTTAATTTCCATTTATAATGTTTGCTGAGCGTTATAATGGTTCCTTCTGACGTTTCTTGGGGTAAGTGGAAAAATTGCCCCACTCTAAGTGCCCTAAATGTTAGGTTAAAGTAGATGCACTGTTAAATTAAACTAATAAATCCTAAAAGGAATTCAGGAGAAACTCCTTTACTGAAAGACTGGTGAGATTGTGGAAATTGACAATGAATGGAGTGGATTAGGTGGATAGTGTAGGAGCATTTAAGGGGAAGCAAGATAGGTATCCAGGGAAAAGATTAGAAGATAATGCTGATAGGATTATAAGTGCCAGGCAATGACTGTCTCCAATAGTGGATAAGTTATTTATTGCCTGTTGACATCCAATGGCACGACCATCACTGAATCCCTCACTGTCAACACACTGGGGTTACCATTGACCAGAAACTGAACTGGACTAGTTACGTAAATACACTGGCTACAAAAGCAGGTCAGAGGCTAAGAATCTTGCATGGAGTAACTCACCTCCTGACTCCCCAAAGCCTACCCACCATCTACAAAGGACAAGCCTCAAGGGTGATGGAATACACCTCACTTGCCTACATAGGTGCAGCTTCGACAACACTCAAGAAGCTTAATGTTGTTCAGAACAAAGCAGCTTGCTGGATCAGTGTCACATCTATAAATATTTACTCCCTCCACGACTGACACTCAGTAGCATCAGTGTGTACTATCTACAAAATGCACTGCAGAAATTCACCAATTTCCTTTGACAGCACCTTCCAAACCCATGGCCACTACCATCTAGAAGGTATGGGTTAGAAAGCTGACGATCCAGTTGCAAGGGGCAGAGTCAAGAACAAGGTCACACAGTTTTGAGATCCAGACTGATCCGCCCTCTGCAGCTGGATCCTCCGCTTTCTGTCCCATAGGCTGCAATCAGTGAGGATAGGTAACTGCATCTCCTCCACAATGATACTCAACACTGGAGCCCTCCCCCACCCAAGGATGTGTCCTCAGCCCCCTACTGCACTCCCTGTACACATACGACTGTGTTGCCAAATTCCAAGTGAATGCCATCTACAAATTTGCTGATGACACCACCATAGTAGGATGGATATCTAACAACGATGTGTCAAAATACAGAAGGCAGATAGATGGCTTGGTGATGTGGTACAAGAAAACAATCTGTCTCTTGAATTCAGCGAAACTAAATAACTGATCATCGACTTCAGAAGGAAAGGAGGAGAACACACCCCCATCTACATTAATGGAACTGAGGTTGAGAGAGTGAAAAGATCAAGTTCCTTCGAGTGACAATAACCGACGATCTGCCCTGGACTTCCCATGTAAATGCGATGGTCAAGAAGGCACAACAACGCCTCTTCCTCAGGCAGCTCAGGAAATTTGGCATGTCCATTAGGTCCCTCACCAACTTCTACAGATGCACATTGAAAGCATACTGTCTGGGTGTATAACACCCTGGTATGGCAACTGCTCTGCCCAGGACCGTAAGAAACTACAGAAGGTTGTGTGCACAGCCCAGACCATCACGGAAGCCAACCTTCCATTCATGGATTCTATTTACAGGTCTTGCTGCCATGGAAAGGCAGCCAACATCATCAAAGACCCATCGCACCCTGGTAATGATCTCCTGTGACCTCTTCTGTCAGGCAGAAGATACAGAAGAAGCCCAAGCAGGTTCAGGAACAACTTTTTTCTGGCCGTTTTCAGACTGTTGAATGGACTCTAGCCTCAAATAATGTAACCTGTATGCCTCTAAGTCTTTTTGATCTATACATCCTTTGTTTGCTTTGATCTACCTGTACCGCTCATAAACAAAGTTTTTCACTGTATTTTGGTACATGTGACAAAATCAATCAATCAATGAAAACGAGGGCAGCAGATACCTGGGAAAATAGCTTCCTGCAAGTTCCCCTCATAGCCACTCACCATCCTGACTAGGAAATTTTTCGCCATTCCTTTAGTGTCGTTGGGTCATAAGCCTGGAATTTCCTCCTTTAACGGCATTGCAGGTCTACTTACAGGATGTGGACTGCAGCGGTTCAAGAAGGCTGGTCACCACCAACTTCTCAAGGGCAACAATAAATGCTGGCCAGCCAGTGACTCCCATGTCCCATCATATGAAGTAGAGCAGAAGGAGCAATATAAATTATGTTTTACATTCTATGTAATAATGTGCATAGAGCAGCAATCTACATATCTTTCAAGTATTTTTCAATGCTTATTTGTTATGAGCTGCAGAAGACTGGACAGTTTGTTAATCCAGCTAAAAAGATTTGGATGCCTAATTCTTCTGCTATGGCATGCATCCAGTCTCTGTTTTGGAGAAATGCTAAGGAGACAGACTAAAGAAGCTTTTGTGTTTTCAGACAACTCTGTATGACTGGAGAGTTTTAAAAAGTTTGTATTGCTACAAAAAAAAGCTGTAAATTTTGCAGGCAACATGAATTCAGAATAAAATAATATTAATTTAAAAGCAGAAAAACGTTGTGGTGAACTTACTTGAAGAGGTGTATATTTGACAAATCTGTAAATCAGCAGCAAATACTGTATTTTCTGTCAGACCTCTGTTAGGGGGTACTTGAGCTAAACCATCAAGATGAAACTATGATGGACTTTCGGGAGACTGTGTTCAGTTCTGGTCTCTGCTATAGGAAAGATGTTGTGAAACTTGAAAGGGTGCACAAAAGATTTACAAGGATGTTGCTGGGATTGGAGGGCTTGAGTTATAGGGATAGTCTGAATAGGCTGGGGCTATTTTCCCTGGAGCATCAGAGGCTGAGGTTTATAAAATCATGAGGGGCATAGATAGAGTGAATAGCCCAGGTCTTTTTCCTAGGGATAGATGAGTCCAGAACTAAAAAGCATAGGTTTAAGGCAAGAGGGGAAAGATTTAAAAAGGACTTTCAGGGTAACTTTTTCACGCAGAGGATGATGCGTGTCTGGAACGAGCTGCCAGAGGAAGTGGTGGAGGCGGGTGCAAATACAGCATTTAAAAGGCATCTTTTAACCCAAAAGGTTGGGTACATGAATAGGAAATGTTTAGAGGGATATGTTTAGAGGCCAAATGTTAGCAAATGGGACTAGGTTAATATAGGAAATCTGGTTGGCATGGATGGGTTGGACTGGGCGGTTTGTTTCTGTGCTGTACAGATCTATGATTCTATGACAATAAAGTTTTGAAGTGCTGCATATTTTGATAACTATCACAGTCTGGGGCTCTATCAGAATGATGCACAGAGTGATAGATGTGCTCCATTGGAGGGTACTGGGATGATTTAAAGAGAGAAGCACATCACACATGTTGGAATAGTGAATCTACTGATGGTAGGACCCTTGAAGAGAAGTCAAAAATAGCAGGAGTGACTTAAAGGCATTATTTTTTAAGCAGCAGATTTTTATGATCTGACATACTGCCTAAAACTCATGATTGAAATCACATTCAGTGATAACTTTCACAAGGCAATTGGATAAGTGCTTGAAGGGGCAGGTTTTGCAGGGCGATAATGACTGAATGGGGGAGCAAGACTGATCGGATAGTACTTTCAAAGAGCCAGAACTTGTACAATGGACCAAACAGCCTTATGTTGAGAAGGCAACGGCCCAGTGCTATTATCACCAGACTATTAATCCAGAGACTCTGGGGACCTGTCGAATCCTGCAGTTTGTGTAATTTGAAATCTATAAAAATCTGGAATTAAGAGCCTAATGATAACCACGAAGTCATTGACAAGTGTTAGAAAAACCCATCTGATTCACAAATGTCCTCTAGGGAAAGGAGCTGCCATCTTTGCTTGCCATGGCCGACATGTGCCCGTGTAGACTGACAGCAATATGGTTGACTCTCAAGTGTCCTATGGCCAATTAGGGATGAGCAGTTGAATGCTGGCCTAGCCAGTGATGCCCTCACCCTGTGAATGAATAAAAGAATTCTGTTCTGTATTCTGTCTGTAATTCAAGAAACAATACGCGAAACTCTACAGTAATCTTTCTGTACTGGCCCTAAGTCATGGTAGCACAATCTGCTCTAGCTCCATAAAATAAATGGATTATTTAAAATTTCTTGATTCATGTGGATGCTGGTGAGACCATCATTTATTGTCCGTCAGCATTTCTATTGTATGGCTTTCTGGCTTTTACAAAGGGCAGTTAAGAGTCAATCATGCTCCTATGGGTCTCGGAAAGAGGGCAGATTTCCCTCTGTAAATGGACATTAGTGAACCAGATTTTCATGACCGTCAGTTAGCTCATGGTTCCCATTATTGATACTAATTTTTAACTTGCATTTGTTCATGTGTGCTATGCTTGAAGGTAGACCATGATTAATGCTTCAGTTTTTAAATGTAAGATTTGGTGAATTAATTTCCTGGTTACCATAGTGGGATTTGAATTCATGTCCGCAGGTTATTAGGGCAGGAATATCACCTCTATGCTACAGTACCCCACACTAATCTACTACCAGGCTCATGGTGAACAATTCATCCCCTCATTTTATACACAAATAAAATATTTGGTCGCCATGTCTAATTTTAGATCAGACTTTGTCACCTTCCACATTTCATTGATAAATAATCTTTACTGGATTTACTTCCTCTAGTGGGAGACCTCAGAATAAAGTGCTAAATGCAAGTAGTAATTACTTTGAGGAGAAATCCGTGCAGACAGATGGCAGAGGCTCCCTGTTTAGCTGTATTTCACTTTGAAAGCTCACCACTTGTCCTGTGAGGTTTTCAGTACTTCCTGTGTGTATATTTAGTGTTATTGTGTAACTGTCAGCTTTAAACAACAGGATGTTAATCAGAGCTCAACCCTATTTGACTCCACATTATGTTACTTTGCCAACTTTCTGTTTGCTATCACTCCCTAAAGTACAGTGGGCCATTCAGCTCTGCACCCTGTTCTGTCATTCAGTTAGCTTGGGGTTCATTTGTCCCATTTACCTGCTTTGGTCTGATATCCTTTCATACCATTACCTGACAAAAATCTATCAAATTTCTGTATGACCTTCAGCCTCACAGCTTGTCGAGTTCCAGATTTTCGCCACCCTCCATGTGAAGAAGTGCGAAATGATCTCATCCTTTAATGGCCTAACTCTACTGTTGAGGGTATGTCTGTTGGTTATGGACTCCCCCACTGTAGGAAATACAGCAAACTTTTTATTAACTGGCACCTGTATGACCAGGAGTATGCCAGTTGATCAAATATTCCAGTTGATCAATAGGTCCTCATAATCAATATAAAAACACATACTAAGTAATAGAAACAAAATTCGGGGCTATACACATCACTGTCATGTTTTATTTACAGCATAAATCACTTAAATAATGATGTAGTTGTTTAACTAATAATAACTATGTAGTTTCTTTATCTATCTCTATACCATTAAATCCCTTAATTGTTCTAACTATTTCAGTAGGATCAGCTCTTAATTCTGTATACACAAGGAATTATGAACCTGCATTTTGAGATGTTCCAGCATTTCTTTTCACAATAAAGATGTTTTGTTTAAAATTGTTTGGATTTTGCTGTAGGCCACAGAGATCCTGAGCTAGGCAAGAGACTCTAGTCAGACAACAGCTGGAATACTGTGAAAAGTTTTGGTTCCCTTATCTAAGAAAAGATACATTGACACTGGAGGCAGCCCAGAGAAGATCCATGAGGCTGATCCCAGGTGTGGAAGGATTTTCTTATGAGCAGAGGTTGGTCCTATAATCAGTGGTGTTTAGAAGAATGGGAAGAGACCTTATTGAAATGTCTAAGATTCTTAGGGGCCTTGACCAGGGTAGATGCAGTAAGGTTGTTTTTCCTTGTGAGAGAGTCTAGGACCAGAGGGCATAATCTCAAAGTAAGGAGTCGTCCATTTAAGTCAGAGATGGGGAGGAATATTTTTCTCTCAGAGGGTAGTGGAATTCTCTGTAGAGGGCTGTCAAAGCTCAGTCATTCAGTAAATTCACAATTGAGATCGATTTTTAATCAGTAAGGGAATCAAAGGTAACAGAGAAAAGGCAGGAAAGTGGAGTAGAGGATTATCAGATTAGCCAAGATCCAATTGAATGTTGAAGCAAACTTGATGGGCTGAATGGCCTACTTCTGCTCCAATGCCTTATGGTCTTATAAGAGGAAAATAAAACCAGCCTGAGTTCCTGCTCCTGATCACCATCAGATGCCCCCAGGTTGTTAGGTTTTAGCTCCACTGAGTTGGTCCTCATGGTTAAGCCAGTCCCTCATTACATATTGAGAGAGAGTGTTTCATTCTCTCAGAATTGTACCCTGGCCAAAGGCAGTGGCATCAGGAGAGGAGCAGAGAGACATAGAGGAAAAGAAAATCATTTCTTTCATGTCTGCTTTGAAAATGACAGCAACAGTGTTGCAGCTGCATTGCACAGAGGTTGGAGTTAAGGGTCGCACTGTTCTCTTGTGCTCGAATCATTTCTCACTGTTTTCACTATGCGATAATCTTCATTTATTAATGAAATGGAGCCATGTAAACAATTAGCTCAGGAGACTCCTGGAACAAACAATGTTGTTGCCTTCTGTGCAAACGCTCAGGAGAATAGGAATCCCTTCTCGCTGTGATTTATTTTTGGCGCACTTTGCTAATATACAAGGAGGAGCAGGAAGACTTGTCTGCAGCCCCATTGTCCTCTGACACTGATTAAGTTGGATGTTTCATTTTGACAAAGGGTCCCACCCAAAACACATACCTTCAAAGGTCATCAATTCATTGTGTATTTCCAGCATTTTCAGTTCTATTTTTGAGATTTCCAGTGTTTGTGTTTCGGTTTTATTGCCTGTTTTGATCTTGGCTCATTCCATTTACTGCAAACTGTGAAATGAGTTAACACTTAATTTTCATAGAATGTTTATAACTTGAAGGATGCTTTCCCTAATTGTAATGCAACCCACATCCCACATTGTAGAATTTGATATGCAAAATTGAAATTCACTATTATTCTTTGCACATTATTATACTCATGTGGGTGTTTAGTCACTATGAATGTGGTTTTTGTATTTGCTGTCACCCACAGACTCCCAGGACAAAGATAACCTGGTAAAAAATGGAGTTTCCCATGTCTTGTCTGTCTGCCACAATGCCAAGCCTGTACTTGAGGTAAGCACCACAACTTAGCAAGAGCTGCAACAGTTATGTTTGTCCAATGATAATTTACTTTCGTCAATGTGAAGGTGGGATTTGGACAAGTGTTAACTGTGGTTTGGTGGGACGCTGTCTAACTTCTGACTCAGAAGGTTGATTGGGGATTTGAATATGAGTTGCTGTTCCTGCAACCTTCGGGTGGCATCGTTGTGGCACTGCAGGAGGCCCAGGATGGACATGTCGTCTGAGGAATGGGAGGGGGAGTTGAAATGGTTCGCGACTGGGAGGTGCAGTTGTTTATTGCGAACCGAGCGTAGGTGTAGCCTCTCTGCTCCTATGATGCTGCTTGGCCTGCTGTGTTCATCCAGCCCTGCACCTTGTTGACTCAGAAGGTTGTTGTTTTAAGTGCCACTCCAGCAGCTTGAGTACAAAGGCTGACAAGACTTGAGGCTGGATCTCTATTGTGGCCCTGAGAGAATGCTGCAGTGTTGAAGTGACTGTCTTTAGGATTGGGCATTAGATGGATTCAAAAGCTCTCATGGCATTCTTGAAGAACAGCAGAAGAATTACTCTTGGCGTCCTGGCCAATATCAATCTTTTATTTGATATTACTAAAAATATTATCTGGTCATTATCACATTTTTTGTGGGAACTTGCTGTGTACAAATAGGCTGTGCCCAAAGAGTCAGAGTGTGATACAGTGCAGTGGGAGGCTGTTTGGCCCATCATAACCATGCCGGCTCTTTGAAAGACCTATCCAGTTAATCCCTCTCCCCTGTTCTTTCCCCATTGCCTTTCTATTTTTAATGTTCTAGCTTACAAGTAGTATGAAAAGACATTAAGATATTTAGTTGGTTGCTAATTTGGACTTGGGGTCCCTACTTGTTGAAGGAGGCTAAATTCCAGTACAACTGCCATTTCTTTATGGTATACAACTCGTGGGCTGTTTTATAAGCACAGCTTACCACCCTAGCATCAAATTGCTTGTGATGTATTTATTGCACATCAGTTGAGAACCACACGGTTTTAAGTTTTTAAAGACCTGTCTAAGGTTTTCTGAAATGCAGCTGTTTTGAATCAAGTGGACAATAAAAAGGATGCAAATTAATTTGCAGCAACATTTGATTGGAGCAAAACTGCTCACTTCCTGATGCTGGTCAAAAGCAAATGCAGAAGTAAATTGATTTGAATCAAGCTGGTATAAACAGTTCAATTAGGACTCTGTCCACACAATTTTCTCATCTAGTCTTGACACACCAGAGGGCACATCAGCTGGGTGGTCTGACAGTTTCCAGTGCACAACATCATGCTTCAGTGCACATGTTAGAGCAACTAAATTGAATTTAGATTAATAGATTTGTAATAGATTAGATTGTACAATGTAGTACATAGGAAAAACATAATAGGTTTCTTTCGAAGTAAGCAGGCACGTTCTCCCGCAACTCTCTCCTCTCTCCCCTAAGCCTCTCCATCCTGTCTCCATTTCACACTTTCTCTTGCTGTTCTACCTCTCTGTCTTCCAGCTCTCTCTTTCTCTGTCTCTTTCGATTCCGTCTGTATCCTCCATCCTCTTTTCTATCTGTCTGTCCACCATCTGCCTGTCAGCCCCTTCCCTCTCTTCTTAACCTTTTTATCTTTGAACCCTTCTTAATCTTATACCCAAACTGCCAACCAACGGGTATAGTATTGTGCACATAGAAAAATTCATGGGGGAGGAAAAAGTCACTGTAATTACCACTTCGAAAAAATATGCATTTTGAGAGTATCTGCCACTTGTTAAAATATCAAAATTATAAAAATAGACAGGCAGCCGTTCTATATGAAAATGATGATTGGTATCTCCTGGTTTTGAGAGGTTATCAAGTTCAGCAATGCTCATAAGCATTTTCCCAGGACATCCAAGACTAATGGTTAAATCTGACAGTAAGGTCCCAAGTTAGTGAGTAATGGCATTCACTGCAGTTGGGCCTCTGATTCCAAATGTACAAATGAATATGTCTCCCATGTATTCAGTTACGTTCTGAAAGAAGGTATTAAAGGAAACACTAAAGCCGATCAATTTCTTGCAAATTTAAAAAAAGTTGTGTGATGACTTTGTAAAGTAGGGAACGGTTGTTCAATGTAAGTACCTATAAATGGAAAAAAATGGTTTAATTTTAGTTTTAATAAGCAATGGAACATTTGAGATACCGCAAGAAGCTGAAAATAAAGACATGTGTGAGCACAGAAGAAAAAGAGATTGAATTTAAATGAGCTGTAAAGCAGGTGATTTATGCTTTAGACTGAGTGTCAGTTATGTTGATGTACCGGGTAGTATGTGGGGCTTTTCATAAAAGTAATTGGATTTAGGTTGTCACATAGATGTTCATGAGGAGGGTTGGATATGTCTCGAGCCTTAGGTTCAGGCCATGTGCAATTCACTTCAGTTCTAGACGGTTTAATGAGAGTTAAATAGGTCCCATTTATAATACAAGATTGGGAAAATCCAATAGACTGTGCAAGTCAGCATTGACTGGATGTTTTGTCTGTGATTTAATATTGGCTGCAAGCATGAGACAGATTTCACTATTTTGAGGAATTCTACTCTTGACAATGACTTACCACAAGCCAATAAAGTTTCAAGTATAGAATTTCCATGCTGTTTTAAATGTAATCTTAGCACATCATTAGAGCAAGCAATTTTCTTTTCGCTAAATGGGTCAAGAGGAAGCTGTTTTCTGCCCCAACTTTGATTCTCTTCTGTCAACACTTGGTTCTGTCATGCCATTTTGTCTCTTAAAGTGAACTGCCCAGTGACTCCCTAGTGGCTCCACTTATATATATCATTAATGTACGTTATAATGTAGGCGATCACACTGCAGCTCAGAGTTCCCTTCTTTTACATTCACGGAGCCTCGAATTAAGTTGGAATCACAAAAGAATCACAAAACGTGGCTCTGACCAGGATCGGCCAAGACAGGAGAAATTTCTGAGCCTGAGCAGTGTGACAAATTCCAGCAGCCACTTCTGGGAGGGGAATGAATTTCCACAGTGACTTTTCTTTCCTCTCTACAGATTGTGATATTGATGCCACAGACCTGGACTTGCTTCTCAGTGTTTCAAAGTTGCAGAGCCCAGAACTTGCCTGAAAAGAACGATGTCACAACAACCACAAGAGACTTTTGCATTTATTTAGCATTTTGCATTTTCATAGTATTTTACAGACAATGAATAGCTTTCAAAGACTTTTTTAAAAAAAAAATTCATGGGAGATGGACGTTGCTGGCTAAGCCAACATTTATTGCCCATCCCTAATTGCCCTGGGGGCAGTTAAGGGAAAACCACATTGTTGTTCTGGAGTTAGATGTAGGCCAGACTGGTAAGGAGAACAGTTTCCTTGACAATTACAAACCAGTTTGGTTTTTTCTGATAATTGATGATGGTTTCATGCTCAACCGTTGGACTCTTAATTTCAGATTTTTATTGAATTCAAATTCCACCATCTGCCGTGGCAGGATTTGAACCCAGAATTTCATAATGGGTTTTTGCCTTGATAGTGAAGCGATAATAGATAGCACTGTTGCAAAGATAGAAAACACAGCAACCAATTTTCACACAGCAAACTCCCAAAATCAGCAATGATTGGATAATGTTCTCTTCAAATGGATTTGGTTTCCTGAGCTTTACTAATGTGTAATATCTGACATTGTACTAGAAGGATATTGTTGTGATTTGGGGACAAGAAGCCTGTTCCTACCCTGGGTGTCAGAGCACTATGTTGACTGTTTGGCCGGCACAGTGGCTCAGTGGTTAGCTTTGCTGCCTCACAGTGCCAGGGACCCGGGTTCAATTCCACCCTTGGGCGACTGTCTGTGTGGAGTTTGCACATTCTCCCTGTGTCTGTGTGGGTTTCCTCCGGGTGCTCCGGTTTCCTCCCACAGTCCAAAGATGTGCAGACTAGGTGGATTGGCCATGCTAAATTGCCCGTAGTGCCCAGGGATGTTTGGGTTAAACATGGGAAATATAGGGGTAGGGGAATAGGTTTGGGTGGGATGCTCTTCAGAGGGGTGGTGTGGACTTGTTGGGCCAAATGGCCTGTTTCCATACTGTAGGGATGATATGATGATGTTTGGGGAGCTGTGGTAGATTAGTTAGAGTCCAATTTTCACCTTATGTGAGCATTGATAATTTAAAATCCATGAATTGAAGTAGATTTCCAAAACAAACAATTGCTGAGGCAGTTTTGCGATTTCCGATTATAAATTGGATACACTGATTCCAAACTGTTTTGCCAGGTGGAATATCATAGTATGCACTCTATATTGTGAAATCAATATGGAATTGATTGAACTGTAATCCCATTATTTGGAGTTGAGTTTCTACAAATGCTTGTGGAGCTCATGTGTTGAATGTTCCAGTGGACCCTAAGCACTGAGAATGAGTCTCTAGCTGGTTAATTTTATAAGGAATATTATAACATGTATCAAATGTGTGGTCTTTGCTGCTGAGGTGTGACTGTGTACAAGATGCTAAATCCAGAAGGTCCAAAATTAGAGGTTAATTGCTGTGGTCAGTGAGAATTATGTTGACAGTGACATGGATCAGGATCCGACGTTGAGCTTGCTAATATTTATGAAAGTGAATGAATTGATAATTGCGAACGCACGCAGACTGTTGTAAGAATTGGCTGATGTACATTGTCATAGCAGTACTGGAACACACTGTGCTGCAGTGGTTACAGAGCGCATGGGGCTACATTCAATGAGACACATATGGGTGTGAAAGCAGGGAGGTGGACCCATATATTTGGACAAGGTGCCATTGGTGTCATGCCCACGCTGGCCCACTGCCATCCTCACTGTGATGTTACAAGCAGCAGGGAAAATTTGGTGGGTTGCCCACTTGTGGCCCAATGGAGGCATTTAAGTGAGCAATTAATGGTCAATCAATGGTACAGCAATGATTTAATGGGCAATGGGAGGGGCTGACACTGAAAGTATAGATGGCAGCTTTAACCCTGTGGGCTGCTGGCATAC